CGTGTGCCTCTTCTTGGTTGACTTGGAATCCGGAATTTTTTAGTTAACTCTCTCAGGTGAACCACCGGTTATCACTCCGGATATTGGATTTTGCGTCCTCGCACTTTGGTGGAAAAATACTTCAGACATAATAATTGCGGTGAGTAGGGCATCTTTAGCAGATACACTTACATCCCAGAATTCGGGACATGCTGTTCATTATTGTTTTCGAGTACTGACTAGGAGTAGCTCAGACATGCACCGGTTGTTTTGTATCATGTAAAGGGTTCTTACTTTATCATGTGCTCTAAATAAAACAAGTAAAACTTACACCCATATAACTATTGTACTAATTCGAAAAAGTACTCACCCATACTTTTCAGTATCCTTTCCCTGTGTCTCTGACATGTCCGAAAATTCGCAATGTGGAGCATTATTTTATTGACAGTTAACAAATTTCAACAAAGACAGGTATCAATTACAGACCATTGAGCAGTTTCCTATAAAATACAACTCACAAAGAACACGTGTTTATGCTAGCTTTGATATGAATCACGTGGTTTTTGGGTGACCAACATGCTTTTCTTCGTCGAATCCGTCATATATCGGGCGAATTCGAATTTGCCGCGCTGCGGTCCATCGGATTTGGTGACGCTATTGTGACCGCCGGTTCCGAATTGTTCGTTGACATCAGGGTTCGAGCTGCGGCCGCCGCTAGACCGACGAATTCGAACAGCTGGGCACTTTGCATGATCAGGCTAGCACTTATACGCAACGAGGTGGCCAGAAGATTTGATGCCGGGTTTGGAGTGGGCGGTAAATTATCGTTTGGTTCCGTACAGTCCTATGAGCAAACCAGAACAAAGATTGGATGTGATCACATGGAATGGACCGGTTTTGTTTGCATATGTTGAAATAGGATGCAGTCTAGAACAAAAATTCTCTTCATTTACCACGCATCTCAGTCATACAAAATTATTCGCATTTAGCTTATCGGTACTTGTGAGTAGTGTTATGGGATAATTGATATTGATTGATGAGCACTGGCTGTCCTTCAGACTTCACATTCACGCACATTCCTCAGCCCTTTAATTCCACCATTTACACTCGGAGGCACTATGGAGACTCGAGTTTAGCTCTTAGTAGAGCTCATCAGTTTTGCATAGCCAGAATTCCGTTCGGGATTTGAACTCCAACCAGCTCAGTCACAAGGAACAATGGTTTAGATGCAAATCATTAATCCAATCTGGTAGGTTTGTGGTCAGTTAGCACGTAACTTGCATGGAAGTCTTGACTTGGTAGGAGGCTTTCACTTCAAGTTAACAGACAGTCAACTGTGCGTCTCCCTTCGTTGCTGTCGGGCCAAATAAACTGACTGATTATCGCTGAAGACAAAACCTGCCCAAACATGAATCAGCAATTTGGTATGAGCTGTTTGGCACAATGGTAACACACGATAGGTCCGAATTTCAAAATCCGGAGGGGACTGTGCATATGCAACAATGACGAAGCTCTAGTAGGAGAAAGCCTCGAGCCCATAGCTTCCGAGTATGTATGGTTAAAAGCTTGAATATTCCCATGATAGCGTTGAGAAAACGAGTCGGTGAGCGAATTATTGTTTTCGGATATTTGTAGCCATGCTCTTACACATCATATAGTGGAAAAAATTCTTACATAATCATAGCCATTGGCTCATTTTAAAGTCAATATTCGGAGGTAGACAGTAATGGGAGTGTGTGTGTGTGTAGGGAAGTTTAACATGTTAGTTGATGTGATCTTCCCCAACTTGGGTTTTTCCCTGACTCAAACATCGCGAGTGGTGCCACTTAACACGTTGAGACAAACGCCTTACCGTACGTCTCAACGTGTTAAGGAGCACCACCCGCGATGGTTGAGTTAGGGAAAACCCGGCTGTATCTCAAGCGCCATTGTGGGGCATCTCGTCGACACCGGCCACAACATCGATCCGGAGAAAGCGTTTGATGTGGTTTATCGCATCCCAATCAATCGCTCAAGTGTGGTCCGAGGTTGGACACTAGCTATGGCCGAGGCGATTGCTATTCGCTTACTAGGCCCCGACTTGTGTGCCCAAAAGCGATTGGTGCAGGCGCTCCAATTGCCTTGGCCGTGTGTGAAAACTAAGACAGAACACGTGGTGCCATTTGACCCAAGTGGGGAAAGGTCACATCAACTAACACATTAAACATTCCTACACACATACACACACACACACTCCCATTACTGTCTACCTCCGAATATTGACTTTAAAATGAGCCAATGGCTATGATTATGTAAGAATTTTTTCCACCATATGATATGTAAGAGTATGACTAGGAATATCCGAAAACAATTGTTCGCTCACCAACTCGTTTATGTATGGTTACATGGAAGAGCTGAGGATTGAGCGTGAATGTAAAGTCTGACAGATGGTCAGTTCTACCAATCAACGTAAAACACATCCCTCATGAATATTGTTCTTAAATTATTAGCGATTTGTATAGAATGCAGATGCAAAACAAAATAGCTTACGTAATGTAGATAGATATGAATTTAACCACTTTAGTATCATCTAATGCGTGCATCTAAATATGAGTTTTTCATTGATTAATTTTTTTTCTCTATTTGTATCAAATTTTTATCTGACTCACACAAAACACCACATCAACGTAATACAACATTAGGAGTATTAATTCTGTTTAGATTTCTTTAGTAAACATAATCAAAAGGTTATCGATAAAATGCATTCAGAGTTATACGCCACGATGGTATTCCATTAGAAACATGAATTTGTGATTTTGCAATAGAATTCACTGGTTTGACGTTGAGCTGTTAGTTTAGAGGTTCAAATCTCTGTCATTGATACGCTTGAAGTCCAAGGGTCAGCGGTTTGAACCCCACCACCAGACTTTCGAGGTAGGTCAGCTTCTCTTGCATCTAAACCAACACTTAGCCTACCTAATCTTGCCATCTATTTGTGCCAAAAACCGAAGTTGAGTCTGAGCTTCGGACACGTTTTCCGCCTAGTTCATCACGGAAAGTGGGATTCGTCCCGGTTACCCTCTCTCTCCGTATCTATTTTACTTTGTCACAGATTTAATTATTAAAGCAGCTCCCAGATGGCAAACCGAGTACGCACGATCCGAGTACGCACGCACCACGGTACAGCTTTCAGGTTACCAATCAAGAAACGGAATAACCGACCAATCCAGTGGCACCAAACGGAATGTAACAAGGCAAGGACATTAAAGAATCGATCAATGATTATTTGATAATTGTGATGTTCATTCGGATGGTTTTATGAATAGAATTAACTGTATCCACAGCCCGTCTTGGTTCTACCTGACTTTGCGCGCTATGCAGTGGGTTTTCAGTCCGATACCGAGTTCGCGCTATTTGATTTCGATTCCTATTCCGAATACTACAAGTATGCAGACGAGATTTTGTTACTACTTAATGATCCAGGTCAGTTGCGAGATTTTCTGGATAAATTGAGTGCTATTGTTCGGTTTTGCGTTTTGCACCTTTAAAGTGTAAAATATTGATAAAAGATTGGGTTGACCTGGGCCCCGACCTCAATCTGACTGAGCATGTAGTAGAGAATGCAGACACATAGGTTCAGTTAGGCTCCCCATATGAGTACCTCTAGATCATGGTAACCGGGGCTTGGAGACACTGAATGATATCGATCAGTGTAGCAATTAGTGACCCTAGTGTATATGGATCCTCTATTTTCTCCCTGACTCTGTTCCCAACATTCTACTCTTCTGCTCTTTTATCCAAATGGGTAGCCAGAAGGTAGCAACCAAAACAGACGCACGAAATTGCATCAAATAATGGTTATGAAAAAGTGAAACTGAAACACTAATATTTTTCGTGGCTTCCCAATTCTAAGTCCCCAAGCTTTGAATATTGTTTATTATGAGTGAAGCGGTAAATTCTCTTGATAATGGTATTTGCCTCCTTTTCACTGTTCAGAGCATAAGCATTTCTAACTTACGTTCTGCGTATTGAGTGTCAGAAATGATTATGGCACACCAGCTGACTGAAATATTGCAACAGCTCCAATATGCATAAAGCACTCTACTCATCAGTTACAGTGTCTCCTTCGACCAGCACTTCGGATTAGTCCGTAACAGTTGAGTACGAAAATAACGCGGAGCGAATGAAATTTATATCTCAGTTTTAAACAAAACAAAACATAGAGTGATGAACAACCTCCTTTTTAGATATTCGCAAGCATGTCAATATATATGTATATAATACAACTTCTGGGTACAAGTATCTGAATGAACTGACAAAAGATTACCTGTCGAACGGCAAGAACTGCAAAATCGGTCGTTTGCTCCCAAGCAAATTTTGCTCAGTCATTCACATATTACTCATTATCATACATATATATATATCACTACTTGGGAATAAAACTGACTTGAGAAAATAAAATAAAATCACAGATTACTAGAAACGATTTTATCGTGAGGCTGGAATTCGGGTTCACCACGATCACATGTTTGTTTGTTCACTCTTCCAATCATCGAGGTTACTCGTGATGCGGTGTGAGTGTGTGTGTTTGGGGTGGGTCAGGGAAGCTTTAGCGTTTGAACAAATTGTTTTTGGGCACGCGGAAAGGGGTTGTGCAGACGAATGCCCGCCGCTTCTGCCGTAGCCAACATCCGACCGGGAACCTGAATCGATAATCGTCCTGAAACAGACACCGCATCACGAGTAATCTCGATGATCGGATAAGTGGACAAACAAACATGTGATCGTGGTGAACCCGAATTCCGGTCTCACAATGAAAAAATTTCTAGTAATCTGTAATATATATTTATATATATATTGAGATGTATGGATATGAATATGAACCTCTGAAAACGAGCTTGTTCGCCACCCTGTTGTTCTGTTTGAAATGTGCTCTGTGGGACTATTTAGACATCTCAGTTTCTTGGAAAAGAAGCGGGTTCGCTATAATAATTTTCTAGATTGCATGATTGTAATATAAGACGCTAAGCTTATAAGGAGTATGTTTCTCACATCAGTTTTAAATCTTTCACCACACTACTCTCCATACCGCCTGCATTAATTGTATGTTTTCGTTTCGTGGTAAAATACGCTCGTTTGGGTCCTGGTCAAAAGTTGTGAGGGTGGAGCAGAGAGGAGAATGGGTTTGAATCAAGTCACCAGGCCAAGGGACACCACTGAAATCAAACAGTAAACCACGGCGCGTTCATTTCACTATTGACTAAAGTGACCGAAAGAGGGGCGAACCAATAGGGACTGTTGACATACTAAAGACAACACTCACCGAAAAATATTTTAACTTTCAAATTATTCAGATCTGTTTCAACAGTCAGAACACCAAAACTATCAGCCTGTGTACACTTAACACATAAGCTACCGATAGACAAAATGGTTTGAAATTTCTTGGACAATGAACTTAGCATGCAAATATAAATCAGGAGGAGAAAAAATTTATTAGGGACAGTGTACTACCATTACAAACTTTTGGATGAAGAATAGGAGAAGAAAGGAAAGCTAATAGTGGAGTCGAAAAGAAAATGGAGAAGTTCAGTGGTCTAAGGTTGCAAAGAAATTGAGGAGATGCACGA